ATAATAACTGATTATGTTGCATATTATTTGATTAATTCTGGTATAATAACTGATTATATTGTATTGCATATTATTTGATTAATTCTGGTATAATAACTGATTATATTGCATATTGTTTGATTATTTCTGATACAGTGACTGAGGTTTGAATATATTATAATCAACTGAGCTTAGAACTTGATTACATCACCACATCTGGTCATACTGTTATCTTCTGACTGGGTATCTTGAGATTGGCCCTGCTAGTTAGTTTCCATTGCAAAAGGCTCCATCATAAGGTTATCACATCAAAAGCATGTCAACCTCTGCCTGCTTACTTTTCTTAATCCATTTATTGTACCGAGATGATGGTTCCCAGTACCCATTTCAACAGTTCGATATTTCACAAATCGATAGATAGTACATTCGATGACTTGACTGGTATGTCTTTGTGTCGAATAAAATGAATTCCTGTTTCATTCTCTAGCTGCTTGAGCTATGCAATGGATTAATGGGAGTTATAATTGGAAACCTTGTCTTGGTGAACCATAACCTGGGGTATAATTGGAAACCTTGTCTTGGTGAACCCATAACCTGGGATATAATTGGAAACCTTGTCTTGATGAATCCATAACCTGGGGTATAATTGGAAACCTTGTCTTGGTGAACCCATAACCTGGGGTATAATTGGAAACCTTGTCTTGGTGAACCCATAACCTGAGGTGTAATTGGAAACCTTGTCTTGGTGAACCCATAACCTATGTTATAATTGGAAACCTTGTCTTGGTGAACCCATAACCTGTGTTATAATTGGAAACCTTGTCTTGGTGAACCCATAACCTGGGGTATAATTGGAAACTTGTCTTGGTGAACCCATAACCTGTGTTATAATTGGAAACCTTGTCTTGGTGAGCCCATAACCTGGGTTATAATTGGAAAATTTGTCTTGGTGAACCCATAGCCTGAGGTATAATTGGAAACCTTGTTTTGGTGAACCCATAACCGTTGACCACGTTTCCAGATGGAGAGCCTTCTTGATTATGCTACATACTGTTACTACATGCTGCACATTGCTTATGATAGATAGGATATTACTTATTCAAGGATTTGCTTTGGATGGATCTAGTGATCCAAGTTGGTCCATATTCCATATTAAATACAAGAGGTATCCCTGTCTCAGAAATACTAAATCCTTAATTTGAACACATCTTTATGATCTGATTTTATGAATATCTTGCATCAGAAAAGCGCTGTTGCTTACCTTTCCCCCAAAAATCAGTTTTTGGTGGTGATGTGAGTTTTTGATTTGCATATTCTAAGTTATTTTAATATAATGCACTCAATTCTTTGAAGTCTTTAGTATTATTGTACCAGCATGTTTCCTTG